GGTGTATTACTTACTGTTGGTAGCTCAGCTTATTGGAGAGTATTTTTAGTATACTGATGATACTATGTAGTTTATACTTTAGTTGTTTACGTGGTGGTTTGGTTGCTGCAGCTACATACTGTTAACATTCCTTCCCTTTATTAATGCTTCCCCCTATCCCCTCCCTTTGATGCTGCTGGTCCTGCATAATGCACGGGCAAAACATGACTTTAAACCCCCCGCCAAACCTCCTACGCATTTCACAAGTAGTACTAGTCGCATATCTGCATTTCCCATAAATATGCAAAAATCCTCTTGATATGCAAATTATTTTGTCAAGGCGCTCTTCCTCCTCCCGCCCAGCTTAAATAGATGATCAAAGCCCAGGACGTGTCATTCAGACTCTGGCTTATCGACAGACCTGTTCTTCACCTGAGGACGGCTGCTTGCGTTGTGGCCGAAATGTCGTGAGAATTATTTTATTATGTTTTATTTTTATTCTTTTAATATTTCCATTCTACGTTACTTTACCGAAAGAACCAAGAAGATAGTTAGAGGGTGGTTGAGGGAGGCAGGAAGGGGTGGAAGGGGAGAGTTGGGAGTCGCGTGGTTAGTGCTGTCAAAACCTGTACAGCCCCTACCCTATCGGTAGCGATTCAGGCGCATAAACCAGGAAGTGAGGCACAGGGCATGAGTGGCTTAGTCTGGATAATGGCGCGCAGGAAAGTGGATGTGTGCAGACGAACGGGTTCTAGTGCCACCGCACCATGCACACCAGGTCGAGTCACCACAGAAAATTCCTCATTGCCCAGACAAACTCGAGGAGGGAGATAAAATGTTACACAGTCTGTATCGTCTTGGTCTTCATATTGTTGGTGGTGCGTTGTAGGTGTGCAGGTGACTTGTTGCTAGGCAGGCAGCTAACTCTATGAAAGGGCTCTGCCTGAACGGGAGGCCTTCAGTTTAGCAAACCCTCTCTTCTGCCGGCGAGGTGTGCACAGGGTCTTCGCCCCAAGAAGCCATCTCCCTGAGCCATGGGAAGGCCGCATAACCTCGGGTGGAGGTGGTATTGCGGGTGCGTAGATGGGGTAAGGTGCCAACTTTAGGTATTGCGCACGCCGTGCACAGAGGGGCCACCACCGATAAATTTGCATTTTGCACCAAGCAGTTCTCCCCCTATTAGGCCAAACCAGGCACGGCCCCATACAACTATGCCCTTCATGGCCAGAGCTCGGGAAAAGGAGGGAAAAATGCAGACTCACCGTGGGTGTGACGCAAGGAGCCAACTATAGGCCCTGCTCATGTCGCATGTAAATAGGCCACCGCCGAGTAATTTGTATTACACTGTGTAACAATTTTTTTGGTTCCTGGGTAGTAAGTGTTATTTTTTAATTGCTTATGCCTCAAAGTACATAAAATGACTATTATTCCCCAAAAACTTAGCTTTTGTGACCAGGACAGTTATATTTTGAAATTTACCAATTTTCCAGAACATTCCAGATAGATTCAGTGCTGAGTAAACTTGGAGTAACTTCTAGAACATTCTAGAACTTCCCAGTAATATAAATAGTAGTATAAATGTAGTGCCTGAAATATGCGCCACGTGGAGTCGGGGGCACGTGTTTGCAGAGTACAGTGGGAGCATACGAGGTCGAGGTTGTTATTGTCATCAAGGCGCGAGGAGGAGGCTAGAGACGGATAGGGGGCAATTAAGGACACAGGCTGGGATTTGTTATTGTCTAAATGTGACGCCAAGCTGTCTGAGGACAGTAGCAGGTGGTAGGGAGTGATTAGGGACGCAGGGCGCTGATTGGCCGGGAGGTTGTTGTTGTCGCTAAGTGGCGCTGCGTTGTCTGGAGCACGTGGCGGGTGCTAGCGGGGGCTGTGAACGAGGGACGTCACGGGGGACGCCACCTGATTAATTAGAGATTAATTGGCTTGGGCATAAAGAGAGGGGGTTTTGAAGGAGACGGGAGTTCGCGCCTGGGAGGAGAAGAAGAATGTTGGAGCGGAAGCAGCAGAGCCAGAAGCAGTAGAGAAGTATAGGGTAGCAGCGGAGAAGCATATGGAAGCAGTGGAGAAGTATAGGGTAGCAACGGAGAAGTATAGGGTAGCCGTGGAGAAGTATAAGGTAGCCGTGGAGAAGTATAAGGCAGCAGTGGAGCAGCCAGCAGAAGCGGCTGGAGTGTGATGGCAAAGCCAGCAGAAAGCGGCTGGAGTATGGTGGAGAAGCCGGTAAAGAGCGGCTGAACTGTGACGGAGAGAATGGAGAGGAGAGTCGACAGAGTGAGAGACGCAGAGCGAGCAAGGCCGGAGGAATTCGGTGAGCGAGCGGAGAGCGTGCTGGAGGAATGTTGATTGGTGTTAGCGGAAGGAATGTTGATCGGTTTTAGCGAAATAAAGTGAGAAAGAAAAGCAAGAAGCTGCCGTGTCGAGTTCAGCACTACATAAATACAGAGGCCTTAAGTCCACCAGTTCAGTTTGGTTCCAGCTGCCTTCGTGGATACATATCTGCGTTTTTCTGAGATGGCATCACGAGGCTGCAAGCATCCAGCAGACGCATTTTGCTATGTCTGCGACCAATTTATCAAGACAAGAGCGAAAAGTACTCTGTGGAAGCATCTGCTAAGATGTGTGAAGCCTACAAGACATATTTCGGCATGCCTGTAGGGGATCAAGACTAACCCTGGGCACCTCATTTAACCTGCGAGCAATACAAACAAATTCTGGAAGGTAAGATGGACAATTTTTGCTCGAAATGTTTTTGTTATAGAATTTGTAAAAAAAAAAAATGTTTACAATTTTCAATGATATTGAAAAAAGATATCATATATGAAACATTTTGCGAGAATCTCTTACACATTAGTCATGGGTGAAATGTATTTTTGTAGGATGGTACAAAGGGGAAGAGAGAGTCACGAAGTTCGCTATCCCAAGAATTTGGCGGGAACCCACTGACCACTCAAGCAACTGCTACTTCTGCATGGTGGACCCGTACAAACGTCGGACTGGCAAGAATGCACCTGCTATCACGTATCTTCCTTCCTTCATCCATGGCCCCGGTACCACACTGCCATGAGCTCCCCGTACCCACTCCTCCGGAGAAAGAGAACAGTCATCTTTATAAGACAGCAGCAAGTCAGAGCGAGGAAAAGGTGTAGATCCAGATGACAATTTCAGCGGTGGAGCTGAGGAGAGAAACCCATACTACCCCCACCAAAAAGACCTCAACGACTTGATCAGAGATCTTGGTCTCACCAAGTCCAATGCCGAGCTTTTGACGTCTAGGCTCAAGCAGTGGAACTTGTTGGATGAAAGTGTGCAAGTCGCAGTTCAGAGGAAGCATCACCAACCTTTTTGCAGCTTCTTCACCCATCAAGATGGGCTCTGCTTCTGCTACAATGTGACCAGTCTGTTCGAGACAATCGGAATCGCCTGTAACCAGAATGAGTGGCGCCTCAAAGTAATGCTGCTCCATAAAGTAATGTTGCTCCATAATCGTAACAAGAATCCGTCTCTTCCGCTGGCTCACTCGGTGCACCTCAAAGAGGATACAACAGCATCGATACCTTTCTGGATTCCTTGAGTATGGCTGGGAGGTCATCGGACACTTCAAAATGGTGGCATTCTTGATGGGTCTCCAAGGCGGTTTTACCAAGTTTCCCTGCTATCTTTGCCTTTGGGACAGCAGGGACACCAAGGTGCACTACCACAGGCGGGACTGGCCACAGCGGACCGAATTCTCTGTGGGGAGGAACAACGTCAATTGGGAGCCACTGGTGCTGATGCCACCACTGCAAATCAAATTGGGCCTTATGAAACAATTTGCCAGAGCTGTAGATAAGGAGTCGGCAGCCTTTAAGTACCTTCAAGACTTCTTCCTTAAGCTGTCCTGAGGCAAAGGTCAAATCCGGTGTCTCCGTCGGACCACAGATGAAGAATATTCTGGAGTGCAATGAATTCCCCAAGAAGCTCACTAGTAAGGAGAAAGTGGCTTGGAACAGCTTTGTTGCAGTGGTTCGTGGCTTCCTGGGCAATTACAAGGTCGAAAACTATGTGGAGCTGGTTGAGACTGTGGTGAAAATCTACGGCACAATGGGCTGTAGGATGTCCCTCAAAGTTCAACTTGATAAATTCAATGAGAACATGGGAGCATACTCGGAGGAGCAAGGCGAGCGCTTCCACCAGGATATACTGGACTTTGAACGCCGCTACCAAGGACAGTATAACGAGAACATGATGGGAGACTACATTTGGGGGCTGACTCGTGAAAGTGATTTACAGTATAATCGTAAATCTAGAAAAACTACTGACTTCTACATTTTGTTAGGTAATTTTTATATTACTTTAGTATAAATACATGTAAATTTGTATTCATATGTAGTTTTTTTCTGACTTTGTGAACGATAAAACACAAATGCACCCGTTTTCTTATTGAAAATAGGTAAATTTCCAAATATAACTGTCCTGGTCACAAAAGCAACGTTTGTGTGGAATTATAGCTATTTTCTACAATTTTTAGGCATAATCAATTAAGAAATAATACTTACTACCCAGGAATAAAAAATTGTGTTATATAGTGTTATCATTCTACTCCACTCCTCAAACCAATCTGTCACGTGAGACGAGGTCAATGTGAGCAAGGTGATGGAATTGAGGAGGCGGCACCACCCGAGGTCTTGCTGGAGGGGTGAGGGCCAGCCCGAAAGTAGCCCCGCTTCATGTAGTCCCTCGTGCGCCATCATCGCTAGACTCTCTACCATGCCACCTGGCCAGGCCACTGGCCTGACAGGACTGCCCCTGGCCAGTCTCGCTTTCTCCTTCCGTGTTCTCCTCTCCTGCCTGGAAAGACAGCCTTTCCCCTGAGTGGGCAGGGGGTGCTAGTTTGGAGGCCAGGGGCCGACTGGCAGTGGCTCACCCCTGAGTATGGGGGTAGCCACACCCCTCGAACTGGCTCTCTACACCAGATGGCTCTGTGGGCTCCATATCCGAGTCCAGGAGTGAAGTGTGGGAGGGGGGGCTGGGGGTGCAAGAGCGGCCCCGAGCCGCACTCGCCCCGATTGCAGCCCCCCTGAGGGGTACTCCTCCTCCCCCTCTGAGTGCACTGGCATATGCCACAGACTCATGATCCCACATCTCACGCGGGGTGTAGTCATATCAGGCCGTGCCTGGTCTGGTCTAATAGAGGGGAAACTGCTTTATTGATAATTATCACATCGTCTCCATGGTGGCTGGCCACTGTTCATTTTCCGTTTTATTTGCTTTTCAGAGCCAGACAAACTTTGTATGTGTGGAGAGTGGCACTCACATACAAAGGTTTCCATGGCGGGTAAAATAGGTTGTTTTAATCAGTGACACTTTGAATCTCAGCAACCAACAAAACACCATTCCCCATGCCCACTCTGATATGTGATTATGCAGTTGCGGATGTATGACGATTGTTATTTAGATGTTCATTTATTGGGCATCTGTTTAAAAAGAGCTTCATAGCTCATCGGATTCCTCTAGGATAAATGAAGGTTTTGATTATTCACGGGCACTCCAGACATGTGGTCTGGGGAAACCACATGTGACTTCTGTTGGGGTGCATGAGGAGAATGCCATGTAGTGTTGCAATGTGGTGTATACAGTAGTTCAGCAAGACGGATACGAAACGCTTAAATTAGGTGATAATCTGTTGAGACTGCGAGGAGGTGGGTCTAAGGTGAGGAAGAAGGCAGCTCGCTCAGGCGAGGGGAGACGTGGCTACACAACATCGCAACGGGACCCGTGGCCAAACGAGACACAATAGCGACCTAAGTTGCTTATGCTAAAGGGACCCAAGCGCCAATACGTCGCAGCAGCATCTGGGACAGACAATGTAGGAGGTCCAGGGTAGTCACATTCTGGAGCCAGATGAAGCCCAAGGAAGATGAGGTCCAGGGCAGCCATGGTCGAGATGAAGCCTAAGTCATTCAAACTGGCAGATGAAGTAAAAACATTTGTGCCAGTGTCACTGAGGTACAACACCAACAAGCCTCCGGGAAGCAACGAGGGCAGTACAGCATCTACGGTCCAACAAGCCCCAAGGGCAGATGAGGCTGGGACAGCTCGCTTGACGTGGCAATGATTTGGAGAGGTGGCGAGGCAGCATGGCGGTTGTGCTGGGTGTAGTCCGGGGGAAGCAACAGCAAGTTGGGGAGAAAAGAGAAACAGCACATTATTGAGGGAGAGATTAGCATTAATTCTAGATTTGAAGCTTTCGTGACTACAAACTTAGAATACAAGAATACAAGTCATTCAGCCCAAGAGGGGGTCTGGAGCAGGTGACAATTACAGATGAAAGGTGGCCATCTTACATTGTCTATGCAATTTTTTTCCGAGAAAATGAAAGCTTTATAACTTAAGTGAAATGCACGATTCCCCAAAGCATAATCAATACAATGAGCCGAAAGGAAAGGTAGCCAAGGGTGGCACCCATCTCTCCAGAACCAAGAGCTCTGTCAAGGGAAGGAAAATAAATGAGGGTTGAAGACAGCGACTGGAAGGCATGAGCAAAGGAATGGGCAGCGTACAGACTACACAATAAGCAGCTGTAGGCGCAGAGCAACACCAGCATAACCACAGACTGAGTCAGCAAATGTCTCCCATGATACAATGTCACACATGGGCCCCACTTCACATCTTGTAAGTGGCCCACAACTTGGATAGCTTTGAGACTCTCCAGAAACACGAGCCCCCCAGTAAATATCCTCAGATACTCATTCAGTGTTGCAAGTTTCCCAAAGGTGACATGACCATCTGGGGGAAGGAAGAAAAAAACGTCATTATCATTAACATATGCAAATCTAGTTTCACAGATATATAACGCAATACGTTGACTTTTATATGATTCAAGAAAGTACTATCAGTCTTAAAGATGGACCAGGACCACTTTATGTTGAAACAAACACAAACAGCAATAGTTTTACATCATAATAGTGGACAGCCCCACTGAATGATCGTAACCTTATCGTGGTGGTCAGGTTTGCATGTTCCAATGACCCTCAGAGCTGTCACGTGGAGTCTACTCCTGGTAGGGTCTCTCTTGGCAAACATGTCTGGGGGGAGGTTCCAGACAAATAACGGTAAAAAAGGCCACTATGAATGGTTTTGAAATAGAAAAATTAGAGAACCTCGCCCGGATAAGGTATACTGAGACACCTCCCTGGAGCCAGGCATGGGGGTGGTGTTCACTGACAAAATCGTGATGGCCGGGCGACCTACATAACCCTGTCGGGCCCAGCCCAATATGACTACGTGGTGCCGTCCTGTGGGTGAGGGGCGGGTGCGATTCCTGTATGGCAGGGAGTGGGATGATCTCAGATAGACTAGACCTTGGCAATAGACACCAGCAATTGGGATGTGGAATTTCACATCACTGGGGGGGGGGGAGGAGCCAGAACTAGTGGGAGAGGTGGAAAGGTATCGACTAGATATAGTCAGTCTCACCTCCACACACAGCATTGGCACTGGAACCAAATTTTTTGATCAGGGGTGGTCTCTCTCTTGTTCCAGAGAAATCCCTGATGAGAGGCCCCGGGTGGGTGTAGGTATACTCACAAGCCCCCGGGTGAGTGCTGTTTAGTTGGAGTTTATCCCAATATGTGAGAAGGTTGCCTCAATGAGAATTCAGGTCACAGAAAGGAAAACTCTTGACTGTTGCCTGTGCTTATGCACCAAACAGCAATTCACAGTATTCGGCCTTCTTGGAAATGGTGGGTGTGATGCTCGATAGAGTGCCACCTATCGACTCCATAGTCTTACTGAGCGATTTCAATGCTCATGTCAGAAATGATGGAGATACCTGGAGACGCGTGATTGGGAGGAATGCCCCCCCCCCCGATCTGAACCCGAACAGTGAGATGCTATGGAATTCTGCATTTGTCACGGGATGTCAATAACAAATATCATGTTCAAACAAAAGAATGCTCATAAGTGTACTTGGTATCAGAGCATCTTGGGCCGAAGGTCAATAATTGTCTTTATAGTTGTATCATCGGATGTAAGGCTTCATGTTCTTGACAATCGGGTGAAAAGAGGGGCCAAGCTGTCAACTGATCACCACCTGGTGGTAAGTTGTATCCGACGTTTGGGGTACTGAGCAGATGAACGTGGAAGGCCCAAACAAATAGTGCGGGTTTTCTGGGAACGTTTGGAGGAAGATCCACCGCAGAAAATGTTTAATTTCCACTCCCAGGACAACTTATCCTACACTCCAGAGGAGGTCATGGATATTGCGTTTGAGTGGACAATGTTCCAGACCTCAATTGTCGATGCAGCTACGATAAGCTGTGGCTTGAATGCAGTTGGTGCCTGTCATGGCGGCGACCATAGGACCTGCTGGTAGATACCAGTGGTGAAGGAAGCTGTCAAGTTGAAGGAGGCTTCCTGAGTTATGCTCAGAAAAAGGTTTGTCGACTCGATTGAGAAGTACCGGCTTTTCAAGAGGGTGGCAACGGTAGCAGTCGCTGAAGCAAAAGCCCGGGTATGGGAAGAGTTTGGTGAAGCCATGGAGAGGGACTACCTGGCAACCTCAAATATGTTCTGGCAAACCATCCGATGCCTTAGAAGGGGTCGACGAGACATGGCCCAGGTTGTTCTCAGTCAGGGTGGTGGAACATTGAACTCAACTAAGGAGATAGTCGAGAGGTGGAAGGAACACTTTGAGGAGCTCCTCAACCCGGTGGTTCATGCCCTCCCCTCAGGATGCAGCCTTGCAAACAGGTTGGGGGGTCGGATCCATCACGGCTGCTTAAGTTACTGCGGCGGTTGAGGGCCTTCATAGCGGGAATGCTGCTGTGGTGGACAAAATTCGCCCAGAGTTGTTTTTCAAAGCACTGGACATTGCAGTAATGTCGTGGTTAACACGTCTCTTGAATGTTGCATGTAAGACAGGTACAGTACCTCTGGAATGGCAAACTGAGGTCGTGGTTCCCATTTTTAAGAAAGGGGACCAGAGGGTGTGCTCCAATTACAGAGGGATCACACTCCTCAGCGTCCCAGATAAAGCTTATACCAGATTCCTGGAGAGGAGGCTCCGCCCGGTGGTCGACCCTCAGATCAGGAGGAACAATGTGGATTTGTTGTCATGGTCATGGAACGATGGATAATCTATTTTTCCTCTCACAGGTATGAGGGGTCGTGGAAGTATGCTTCTCCAGTGTACATCTGCTTTGTAGACTTGGAGAAGGCATATGATCATGTTCCCTGCAATGTCTTGTGGGAAGTGCTGTGGGAGTATGATGTACCGGTGCCGCTTTTGTGTGCTATCAGGTCCCTCTATTCCCGGAGTGAGAGCTATTTCCGTTTTCTTGGTTTTAAATCAAGGTTGTTCGCTGTGGGTATTGGACACCGCCAAGGATGCATCTCGTCTCCACTCCTGTTTGTGATTTTCATGGACAGGATATCAAGGCGCAGCCCAAGTATGGAGAGTATCCAGTATGGGGGCATGTAAGTGGTGTCGCTGCTTTTGCAGATGACACTGTCCTCTTTGCCTCGTCAGTCTGTGATCTCTAGCGTGCACTGGAACGGTTTGATGCCGAGTGTGAAGTGGCTGGGATGAGGATCAGCACCTCCAAATCTGAGGTCATGGTTCACTCCCCGGAGATGGTGGATTGTGCTCTACAGGTGAGGGGGGAACAGCTGCCCTTAGGTGGAGCAGTTTAAGTACCTCAGGTCTTTTTCACGATGGTAAATGGGTGCGGGAGATCGGCCAGCGGACCAGTGCGGTGTCTGCAGTGTTGCGGGTGCTGTACCGTTACGTGGTAGTGAAACGAGAACTCAGTTCTCGAACACAGCTCTTGGTTTACAGGTAGATCTATGTTCCCACCCTCACCAATGATATCGCGGGTAAAAGGGGCCAAAATTAGGTTTCTCTGCAGGGTTACCGGGCTCACTCTCCGTAATCGGGTTTAGAGCTCAGTAATCCGCGAGAGCCTCAGAGTCAAGCCGCTGCTCCTCCGGACCGAGAGGTGCCAGTTTGGGTGGTTCAGGCACCTGGTAATAATGACCCCCGGTAGACTGCCCCTGGAACTCTACCAGGCACGTCCCACTGGGCGAGGCCGACCCAGGACACGCTTCTGGGACTATGTCGCTCAACTGGCATGGGAACACATGGGAATTCTCCAGGAAGAGCTAGAGTCTGTCGCCAGGTAAAGAAAGGTCTGGGCTACTCTACTCAACATGGTGTCGCCGCAACCCTCACCAGGACAAACGGATTGAGAAATGAACAAATGATCGAATGAACGAGGTAGTGGTCAGCACCATAGACCATATATTGTTACACGTGGTAAAGCGAAATAAAAGTAACCATTTTAAAAGTTTTCTTTGGTTTTGGGCATGATGTAAGAATGTTTAGAGGTGGCTTTCAAAAGCACTCCATAATTATAATCTCTATTTAGACTGCAGAAATCCGATTAACTGTGAAGCTCTTTTTCAGAGACGTCCAGTAGGGTACGACCATCTTGTTCCCGTTACCTGCCATCTGTAAAGACTCCACCTGACAGCCCCAGTCAGAGGTAAACATTGTGGTGCCCAAATGTCGACAATCACCATTTTAAATGTTTTTTTCGAGCAATGTTACTTTTATATACAGGGTTAACCAGGGATTTCTTAAAATTTGATACAAGGGGGATCTGGTCCCTGCTTCTCTCTACCCCATCGTGTATGCTAATAACTAAAATGTCACAATTGGCCCGTTTAGTATGATTCTCAGTCATGCCGCCCTGTCCCCTTATTGAATTTCCTGTGACCTTAAATTTACTTTTTTAAGTGTATTCCCTAATTATCTGCATGCATTTAATGGCCTAACTCGCTGCCAATAGAAACACGAGACATTTTATTGATGTAACACAAACTCTGGTAGCCATTCCAGCTGTGTGGTGCTTCAAACCAAGTAGGACCATAGTAAAATGCTAAAAAAAATAAACTTTACTAAATTGTAAAATGTACACAATGGCGATGCACTGGCATGTTTTCAAAGCATGACGCATGGTTAATGAGATTCAAACATCAGAGGCCTGTAAGTGACGTTTTATCTACTCCTAAAATACATGCATCAGCACTACCAAACTGTAATTACTTGGTAGACTTCAATGTAATCATTTAATATATTGCACACAACCCCAACAGTGTATTATGACATCTTCAATTAAAAAGGAAGTAGCCAAACAAGGACTCTACTGAGTCTAATCTTAGTGTGGGTGTCTTTAATAAGTAAATATAAATACTCAAATCAATGTTGAAATCACTCATGGAAGACTTAATTTTTCAAAATATGAAAATAAATATCTGGATGACTATGGGAATATAAACAGAACTCAATATTCTTTCATATTAATTAAGAGTATGTATTTGTACTTCTGTTTAACTTCTAAACAACAAAAAATAGTTCAGGTGCACATACCTTCTTCAATGATACGTACCTTGCACGTAGGCATAAAGGGTTTCCATTTGTGTTACGGTCACTTGATAATACACTAAACATGTAGTTATCCTTAGCATAAAGCACAAGAGTTCCACTAAATTAATAAATCTTTTAAAATACTCAAATTTTGTTTTAATTATTTTTCGAATATCATAAGCCGATAGGCACAGGTTTAGGAGAAACATTGAGATATAAGCAGCCGTGGTGAGGACAGACCACACGTCCCCGTTGTCGTGTATGGGAAATATCCGCATCTTGACGTGTGGGTTGACAGCACCTAAAACACGACATTTTTAGTTTTTTTTATGAAAGGACAGTGAAATTGTTTTAAAAGATTGTACGCCTCTCTCTGTACCTGGGTTGCTCTCTCTATGTATCTTGGTGATATCTGTCTGCTTATATGTCTGTCTATAGTTTTCTGGTTATATTCTATGTCGCTATTTCATTATACCTGATGATGATTGCTTGTGTTGCAATCGAAACGTCGTATGCTATTATTTAATTTATTATTTTATTTTTATACGTGACTTTACCGAAAAAACCAAAGAATAATTCCTGCAGTCACGAAAGCTCCAAAATTAAGATTGTACGCCTCTTCTTAACCTAATCTGTACTGTACCTGACATGTGTTTATATTTCAATATTGTGTAACTTCAAATATTACTGTTGGTGTTTGATGAATGTCATTTTAAAAGTCATCATCGGCAGCCATGATTAATCCACTGCTGAATGAATGTCTCCGCAAACCATCGCTATGTCCCACGGTTTTGCGATGCAACAATTTATCAAACACCTGCACACGAGCTTCTTCGATTACTCTTGTCTAAGTGGTGGACTGTCAGGTGTGAATGCATGTTAACAAACATTTTTATTTGTATTTGTACGTACAATGCACTTTGAATATGATAATGGCTGACAAAAGTGGTTTTCACACTTTACACTTGCCCATACTATAATATTCACATAAAAAAGTCTGATCCAAGGAAAGCGTCATGTGTAACTCACCAGACGGAGAGAGAACCAGGTGCAATATCAGGTGACAGAGCAGGTGTGTGTTTGCGTTAAACAAAGTGAGTTCGGTGACCAGTTCTGCTGTGCGTGGGTCGATCCACAGATGCTCCTTCAAGTAGGCTACAGTGTTAGCTGCCTTTCCTGCATCGTTTTCTACTTCCACCAAGTAGCCACCTCCGCCAAATTGCCCTGAACAAAAAAATATTTTATAACGTTAAGCAAATGGGAATAAGTATAATGTTGATCTCTAATGTTACAAATAAGAATTATTTAAAACTATTTAATTTCCTTTTAATTTATTGCAATACTTTATCTGGAACATCTCTTAGGTTAGTCTTCATTTGCAAGGACATCAAGAGTACTTACTGACACTTTTAAGATACATTATTTAACATGCAAATGTGTGTTTATAGAGCATGGGATGCATAAATATGCGTCTAAATCGCAGTCCCAGTGTTCAATTTAACTCAGCAATGCAAACACAGGACAACCACCGTTCACTTAATCACATCTGTTGCTCACCAAGTAATTTCATAACTATTTCCTCATACAATAGTTAGGTTTTATGAAGTAAATACATTGATTCGTTTTCCTGTAGCCAACATTCAAATATTAGTTCAATGGACTTACCAAGAGTTCTTGAGAGGTCCATTTCTCCAAGATCCTGGTAGATCCAATATTGGTCTCCCTCTGATCGCCCTGTTATATTGGACATCACCCATGCCTCAAAATAGCTGTTCTTGTCTTCTTCAGGTGCAGTGTACTGACCATTTTGCAACATTTTCACATAGTTCATCTCACTTGGGGCTGCCACATATATCCATGCATAAACACGCAAAGTACACAGTTTATACACATTGTAAAAGACTGAACTTATTTCTTAGACCTTTTTGTATTCATTTTGTTCTTCCCCTGCACCTCCGATTAGCACGGTTGGCTATATACAGTGCAAAAGAAGTTCAACATACATACAATACAATAGCATGTCAATCTCTTTTCCTTAGCCTTCTGGACCAATGTTTCCAATCGCGTTGTTTAACCAGGACTAAATGTACCCATCTGCTGCTGTGGAGCCATAAATCACCTGGCGAGGCCAATATGCTGAACCCTGCATGTTACTTACCGATGTGGGCAGAGCAGGCACCCCAGGGAGGTGCAGCTGGAGCATATTTAACATCAGCACATATTCATAGTTGCTATCCCAGCCATATAAATGTAAATGTATGATTGGGGACAAAGCAACCTCGGTCTAGAGGTCCCTGTATTGGTGATGGACGGGCAAGTGGAATGTGAGAGACATTGTTTATGGATCGCGCTCTCTCTCTCAATACTAGGACCACCATTCCCTACACTTTGGACAAAGGGTTTTAGGTCAAGTCACTCCAAGTAGGAGGCCTGACTATGTGTTTTCCTAATGTATGAGGTTCAATGTTGATCGAATACATGGCAGTCCCCAGCAGAAGTATAAAAATTCCCGCGCTTAAGCCCCTGGGGACGTCCCCTTTTCGCTGGGAGTAATTCAAAAGTTTATTGACAATGGGCGGTTGAGGAAGGCAGAGAGGGGTGGAATGGGAGAGCCGTGGTCACGTGATTGGTGCTGGCAAATTCTGCACAGCCCCTCCATTATCGATAGCAAATCAGAGAGCTAGACCAGGAAGGGCGAGATACAGAGCATGAGCGGCACAGTCTTCTGGAGAGTGGACATGTGTGGACAAATGGGAAGGTGTAGAGTTCCGTGGAAACTCTCACCTTCTGGGTTCTAGTGCCACTATGCATGCACACCAGGTCGAGTTACCCAGAAAGTTCCTTTATGCCCAGCCAAACCAGAGGTGAGAGATTCAATGTTAAACAGTCTGTATCGCCTTGGTCTTAATATTGTCATTGGTACGTTGCGGGTGTGCAAGTGACCAGGTGTGCTTAGGCAGGTAGCTATTATGAGAGGGCTCGGCCTGAATGAGATGCCCTCAGTTTAGAAAATCCTCCCTGCCACCAGCGAGGCGTGCACAGGGTCTTCACCCCGCGGAACTGTATAGTTCCATGGGAACTCTCACCTTGTGGGTTCCAGTGCCACCGCCCTGTGCACACCAGATCGAGTCACCCCAGAAAATTCCTCTATGCCCTGAGAAGCAGTCTCCCTGAGCCATGGGAAGGCTGTAAAACCTGGGGTGGAGGGGTTATTGGGGGTTGTCTGCGTGGGGCAAGGGGCCAGCTTTAGGCCGTGCCCATGCCACCTGCAGAGGGGCCACCGCCAAGTAATTTGTATCATGAACAGAGCCCTCCCCCCTCTTATCAGACGAGACCAGACGCGGCCAATTATAACCACGCCCCATGCAGCGAAAACGGGAAAAGTGCAGATTCGCTATCAGTGTGGCGCGAGGGGCCGACCTTAGGTTGTGTTCACACCACCCCTGTAGAGAGATGAACATATATCCATACCCACCCACAGATAATGGTATAGAGATATATAGCAACCATGGCAGCCGTTCACTAAAAGGTGACGGCGACGAGACCTGCACGCTTGTGTCAGGCTGCATGCACTTTGAGGCCACGTGAAGCATCAACGGTTTGTTGTCATAAAACTAAGCCAGTTTCTGGTTAAATATAGATACATGCACGAACACACACACACGTGTACGTGTAGATATATCCACCTACATGGCGGCACTATCCAAACGATGATCACACGAGCACTTCCAACTCAACAAAGTGGGGGTGGAGTGTAAACCCCTGTGTGAGGTCGTGAGGTGTGGAATGATTGCCCAGCTGCTGAGGTGTGGGATGATGAACTCTGTTGCGCACGCTGGTGCACATGGAGGACGGGAGGAAGTACCCTCCAGGAGGGCGTTGCTCGGAGGATGTACAGTGTTTTATACAGGGGACGAGGACACTGAGGAAGAGATGGAGACCTGGCAGAGGCAGGCCCGTCGAGTTCGCAGCCAGGCTCGGCGGCATGGTAGAGGGTTGCGCAATTCACCCCCGGAGGAGTTGCTAACGTAGACTAGCGATGATGGCACATGACGGCCTAGCAGAGGCAGGACCTGCCCCGGGCCAGCCCCACCATGTCGGCAAGGCCTCGGTGGAGTCGGCCCACTAATTCCCCCACCCTGCTCGTGTAGACATGACACTGCTTTCTACTGCTGCCTTTGACACCATGGGCCACTTTTTACACTAGGAGCATCTCCATAACCCTGCAGGCATTTGTAATAATTCTCTCCTGGTTCCATCATCACTTCGCAAACAGCTCCTTGTAAGTTTTTTTACAAGGAATCCCTGTGCTATGGTGTCCTGTAAGACTCCATTATTCGGTCCCCTACATTCACATACTATTTAAATACATTTTAAAATATGTAGCACTAATTAACTTTGAGAGCCTTTGTCCATTTCGGTGACTGCACATTAATTATTTTGAATAAGATTTTGAATGAAGTCGATTGGGAATTGAAATTCACACAACAATTGACGTGAAGATATCTCCAGAATAAATGTCCTTTTATTCTCCAACTACAACTCGAAATCTTTACGACAAGAAAATGTCACTCTCAGCTCTCAGCCCACGTGTCATAGCACACACGCGGCCGCCATTACTCCTACCTCTGAAACATTATAAATACATATTTACCATTTTTGTATCTCAGTTGTCTCATTTGGACCACTCCAACAACAAGCACATTGGCGAGGACTGTATTGTGCAGAGTGACACCACTGGCTGCCACGCTGCTACTGGAGGTGGCTTTCATGTGTGGCAAGAGTGAGCCGGACACCCAGTTCCAGTAACTGGCCACGTCAGCAGTCTTAAAGAAATAACAACACAGCAATCGTCATCCACGTCTTTTGTTAGACTATTATATGGCGTTCAATAAAAAATCAAGCCAACAGCTAACCCATCCTTCGTTAAGAGTAATTTTAGGCAGCATGAGGCAATGATTACTATACTGTACTGACCATTCCCAACAGGAGCGAACCCCGTATACAGTCTTCTCATTGCTCTACTGTTGATTAAATAAAATGGCCATCTTGTTGAGGATTGGGGTCTGAACAAGGCTAAATAGTGTATTTTTTCACAGCATGATGAGGTCATTTGACATGAAACGCATATTGGGAGGACTGATTCCATGTTCACTATTAAAGATGTATCATTACAAGAATCTGTGAAGTGTAGCACCAAGTATCAACACGTAAAGCATTCCGCAATTTTCCCAAAGCGAACTGTCTTAAAACGAACACATTTACTATACATTTGCTTCGGAACGTTGTGTATTGTTAGCTGCCTCTCTGCTTACCTTTTCGAATTGCCTTGTAAATGTCTTCTCAATGTTATATTTAAAATAAATTGCACAACTTCCTGAATGTATGTATGCTGCGAATAGAAGCACTGTCAGGTACAGTGAAAGGAAAATCGTTCTTAGGTCAAAGCAGCTTTGCCACTTTGTGGGATGTGCAAAATTTGACGTCTCTGTTGGAGAGTGAAAAGCAGAGTTTATTATCGTTATAAAAACATTCATCAGCTTCATTTACATATGACATAACTAAACATATCGTTGTTCCTCGTTACTTTAAAGGATATTCACAAATAAACCTTATGGCAGGACCCCGGGGTCCCATAAGCCCCCGGCTCTCGCACAAACTGCGTTGTGATGTCATTTTATGTCTGTGGAAGGCGAACGATACGGTAATCTATTCCTCTTGACGAGATCTACACTATACGCTAATTAAAGTTTCAAAGTCTGACGGAAGACCTAGTGCAGAAATATTTCAACTTCCACCTCTGCAAAAACTTATCCTGCACTTCAGGGAAGGTCGTGGACATTGAGTTCGAGTGGATGATGTTCAGGACCTCAATTGTGGATGCAGGTACAAAAAGCTGTGGCCTGAAGGCAGTCGGTGCCTGTCATGGTGGCAACCCTAGAACCCGCTGGTGGACACGAGTGGTGAAGGACGCTATCAAGTTGAAGAATGAGGCTTTCTGAGCTATGCTCGGAAAAAAGTCTTCCAACTCCATTGAGAGGTACCAGCTTGCCAAGAGGGTGGCAGCTGCGGCAGTTGCTGATTCGAAAGCCCGTGCATGAGAGGAGTTTGGAGAGGCCATGGAGAGGGACTACTGGGCAGCCTCAAATATGTTCTGGAAAACCATCCGATGTCTTAGGAGGGGTCGACGAAATGTGGCCCAGGCTGTATTCATTAAGGGTGGCATAACATTCAACTCAACTAAGGAGATAGTCGAGAGGTGGAAGGAACACTTTGATGAGCGCCTCAACCCGGTGGACATGCCCTCCTCACAGAAGACAGCCCTGATAACAGCCGGGGAGGTCAGATCCATCATGGCTGCTGAAGTCGCTGCGGCGGTCGAGGACTTTCACAGCGGTAAAGCTGCTGGGGTGGACGAGATTCGTCCAGAGTTGTTGAAAACGCTGGACAGTGCAGTGTCGTGGTTAACATACCTCTTGCATGTTGCATTGAGGCGGGTACAGTTCCTCTGGATTAGCAAACTGGGGTCATATTTCCCATTTTTGAAAAAGGAGACCAGAGGGCGTGCTCCAACTACAGAGACATTACACTCCTGCTGGAGAGGAGGCTCCGCCTGGTGGTCGAGCCTCAGATTCAGGAAGAACAATGTGGATTCCGTCATCATCATGGAACAATGGACCAGATTTTTTCCTTCTCACAGATATTTGATGGGTCATGAGAGTATGCTTCTCCAGTCTATCTCTGCTTTGCAGACTTGGAGAAGGCATAAAACCGTGTGCTCCCGCAATGTCTTCTGGGAGGTGCTACGGAAGTATGATGTACTGATGCCACTTTTGTGCGCTATCCAATCGCTCTATTTCTGGAGTGAGAGCTGTGTCCGTGTTCCTGGTGTTAAATTACAATCGTTCACCATGGGTGTCAAACTCTGCCAATGGTGAGTCTTATCTGCACCCCTGCTTGTGATTTTCATGGACAGGATATCAAGGCGCAGCCGAGGTATGGAGAATATCCAGTACAGGGGCATGTAGGTGGAGTCGCTGCTTTTTGCAGATAACATCCTTTTTGCCTCATCAGTCTGTGATTTCCAGTACACACTTTAATGGTTTGATGCCGATTCCTTTTTGCCTCATCAGTCTGTGATTTCCAGTACACACTTGAATGGTTTGATGCCGATTATAAAGCGGCCGGGATGAGGAGCAGCAACTCAAAATCTGAGATCATGGTTCACTCCCACGAGCCAGTAGATTGTTCTCTCCAGGTGAGGGAAGAACAGCTGCCCTGAGTGGAGGAGTTTAAATACCTCAGAGTCTCTTTCATGATTGATGGTACGTGGGAGCGAGAGATCGGCCCGCGGATTGGTGCCGGCACTGTACCGTTCTATGCTAGTGAAATGGGAGCTGAGTTCTCGAATAAAGCTCTCTATTTACAGGCCGGTCTACATTCCCACTCTTACCTATGGTCATGAACTTTTGGTAATGACCGAAATAATGATATCACGGGTATAAGGGGCTGAAATTGAGTTTCTCCGCTAGGTTGCTGGGCTCACTCTCTGTGATCGGGTGGGGAACTCCGTGATCTTGGAGAGCTTCTGAGTCAAGCCACTGCTCTTCCGGATCAAGAGGAGCCAGTTGAGGTTGTTCGGGAACCTGGTAAGGATGCCCCCTGGTAGACTCCCCATGGAACTCGACCGAGCACGTCCCACTGGGTGAAAACCTCGGGGCCGGCCCAGGAAACCTTGGTGGGACTATGTCGCTCGGCTGGCCTGGGAATGCCTGGGAATTCTCCAGAAAGAGCTAAAGACGGTCACCAGGGAAAGGGAGGTCTGGACCTCCATAATCAACATTCTGCCACTGCAACACTCACCAGGACAAGCGGATTGAGAAACGAACGAACGAAAACGTCTTTTAATTTCAAATAACAATGCATAAAAACATGTCAATAACCACATCCTTACCTTTTACATGCACTACACTGTCTTGCTCCTGCATTTGTATTGTTCATTATTTCATGATTTTCAGCATATGGCTTTAAAATTTCTTCTGCTTGACACTTAGTATTTCTCTTCCACAATAAACATTTTCCCATTGCGAACACAATATTCTATAGTGTACACAGACGCATACACAAGTCACATACGCACACTGGCAAAACTTCCAATCCATGATCTCTCTTTCCATGCAAACAATGAGCACGGTTGGCGACATACAGTGCAAAAGAAGTTCAATATACATAAAGGACGGAGTCTATATAAATTCAACAATTCAGGCACCTATACCATGAATACAAAACCTTACACAATGCTGTTGTCAGATGGCTGAATAGTGTGAAAGTCAAGTTATCCGGACTCCTCTCTTTTTTATTGAGATTTTTTTAATGTTACAAAAGTGAAATATTTTCACCTCAAGCAGAATATTTAAAACTGGTTTAACACTGATTGTGAAACTAAACGGCACTTTTAACATGTATACTTTAAATACACCAGTTAAATGATATAAGTTCAGATCCATAGATGACAGACAGCACATGTGTAATGATAATAGAGTCAACCTATGGTGTGAGTGGACTAGTGGCCACGGGAGGTAATGACAGGGGAATCAGCCTACAGTGCGAATGGACTAGTGGCCACGGGAGGTAATGACAGGGAAGTTAGCTTGCAGTACGAAGAGACTGGTGGCTACGGGAATGATCGAGAATAGGAGCGTGGCCAGGTGACGGAAGAGGATAGTAGAGGCTGCTGGGAGAGCGAGCAGTCTAGAGCAAGCGAGAAGGTTTGAGAATTGGGGCGTGGCCTCAGACCGTATATAAGGGAGATGCGCGGGAGACTCGCGGCTGTTGCAGTGGGGTCTACGCCTGCTCAAGTAAACATGTCTTCAATAAAAGAAACCATCTCAAGAATGTGTGTCAAGTCGTCATTACACATGTATTTATCCTATAACCTATATGATTTGAACAAATACGTTTTATATAAGCAACAACAACAACCACCATTCACCACAAAGTGGCAGCGACATCACCAAGAAGCCTGTGCAGGAGGTCACAGGACAGACCTAAAGGCCATTGGTTGGCTGACTGAAATGACTGGCCGATGCACTATCTGTGCCCCCTCCTGTGCCAACTTGTTGTGAGCGTCACTCCTCTGCCCTCCGTTGTTGCTGGAGGTCAACTGCCTCCAACTGTCCGGTAGTGCCCTTCACGAGCCTTCTCCACAAAGGCTGATCTTGATACTGCTGGTACCAGTCATCTGCAAGTCCACTCAGCTCCACATCCTCTTGTACCACATCATTTCCATATCTTCTCTAGCCCATGCCGCGTCTATTTAGCGCCCTCTATCTGGCTGAACAAAACCTGTTTAGGCATGTAGTGGCTGGGTATGTGGGCTATATGACCCCGCCATCGCAGCCTTGCCTGCCGGGGAGTTCACCAATGGGACTTTGTCCAGATCTTTCAAGAATTGTGAGCTCACACAATCGAGCATGCCAGCCTAAATGTTTCTAACCGGCGAAAATGTTCCATTAGAGGGGGTCAATGTTTCACAAGGATAGAGAAGGGAGGGCATAACTGTGGCCAAGAAGACCCGAAGCTTTGTGTAGAGCTGCGTTATGCAGCCGATGAAAAAATAATGCTGCTCGACTCATTGAGAGTGAGACCCCTGCTGTCAAACAGCAGCTGGTCATAAGCATACTGCCCAGGTATGGAAAACTCTCCACTATCTCCACAACTGCCCCATCACTAATGCTGAGTTGATGGGGTGGAGTGTGTGATGACACAAATACGCAGGCAGGTGCTTAGTTTTGGTGTGGCTGATGGTAGGGGCTAACCTCTTAGCGGCACGCTCCAGGTCTAGCAGCAGCACCTCCAACTTCTCCTCTGAATGAGCAGCAGTTACCAGATCATCAGCATACATAACATGGTTGACCAATATGGAGCCATCCCTCAACTGCACTCAAGCATTGATCAGCCTCCATTGTATCTGTACTATATGGAGATTATTCCGGTACAGCCGTGGAAGGCTTCTCGAACTATGTGGTCAAAAAAGATGATAAAAAATGTGGGAGCCAGAAGACACCCCTGCCACACCACAAGGTGAGGGAAAGGCTCCGACTCCCGGTGAAGTAACTTTATCCAGGTCTGCCCACCATAATGAAGGTCCTTAACGATTTTGAGCTGACTTCAAAAGTACAAAGAACAACCCAGAGCCTATAACTATTGATGGCATCATAGGCCTTGAGCAGATAAATTAAGCAGAGACGTAGGTTCCCTATACGTCTGCTGTATTGGGGCTTCTTGAAGAGGGGGGCCATCAGGGCATCCTTTTAATCCTGCGGAACCCATCCATTGGTCCAGACTGTTATTGTGATGCCATATAGGGCAGTCTGCGCAAAAACGCCACCCTCCCTCAATATTTCGCTTGGGAGATCATCTCTGCCCGGCACTTTCCATGGTCTCCGACTCTGGATCGCCTTCAGTACTTCCTCATAAGATGGCACTTCAGCCAACCACTCACAGGAGTGACTACTTCTTCCAATATCTGAGGAACCACAGCCTCAGCAGGGTCATCCCCACTTTGCTCAATGATGTTTTCCAGGCCGAGTGATTTCTCCTCCCCCAAGACCTCACAGAAATGATCAGCACATCTGCAAACTTGTTTCTGGGCGTCGGAGATCGGATCACCTTTCTTTCCCCTAAAAATGGTGATAGGTGTGGCGCCTCAAGCTACTTTTTAATGGAGTGAAATGGTGATTTGTGATCACGGGCTACTGAGGCAGACTCCATCTCCTCAACAACCCGCGACCAGCACTCATCCTTGCTTCACCGTATGGCTCTCTGAACCTCCGAGCGAAGGCTGTGGTAAGCCTCCTCATGCTGTAGTTGTTGGGAGTGGGCCTGTCGCTTTTTATCACCCAGCCTGAACACCTCATCCATCAACCAGGGTCTCTGTGGAGGTTTAGACCATGTGTAATAAAGGTCTCCGTCTCTGTCTTCATTCTTGTTATGCCGCTCACACTTCGCCGGTCCCGACTGTGGACCGGCTGTTCCACTGGCGCGCCCCGCGCGCCCTTTCTGTCAGTTGCACTCCCGCACACCGCTGGCTGATGGTGTGCTTGGAGCCGTCTCCAGCCACGTGGCCGATGGCGCTGGAAACCTTCCACGGCTCGACGTGGTCCCACTTCGAGTCTATGCCAACTGCCACGAGCCTCTTCTGGATCCCCCTTATATTTCCCTCCCTCGTCATCCCGTCTCCACCTTCCACCACGCCCTTTCCGAACCTTCCAGATCACGCCCTTCACTTAGAGCCCCTCCCAGCTCCGCCCCTCGGTTCCACCCCTGATCATCCGGGCATCCAATTGGGCCGGAGGTGGGCGGCGGACCTCCCCATACGCCCACCTTCAAGTTAAAGTTAATTTATTAGGTATAGCCCTGTGAGCCATTCGGCTCTTGAATCGGGTGCAACCGCAACAAACAAAAAACAAAAACAAGAACAAAAAACATCTTAAAGTGAATATGTGACTAAGTGCAAACAGAAAATCCAAGAAAAGACAGCAAAATATTGCAGAAAAAAACACCGTACACCAACGCTGTGTGCAAAAATCCCAGTGGGATGCAAGTCAAACAACAACAACCATGAGACAACTTAGATTAAGGCCATCAGTCTAACTCTGTACTACAACAAACAAACATGGCTAAACCAATACACTTTTCGAAATCACCAAAATAAAGCCATGAAAGCAATGGAAAAGCAATCATAGGAACTGTGACGGAATTTTCACAATAAATGGCATAAACATGTACTACCAAAACCTTGCAGCCATAGCTGGCTGCATGAGCCACTCCACAACAGCAGGAGCATCAATAGGAGTATTATAATTTTTCAATGCACCTTTAAGATCAGCACACTAAATCAAAACACAGGTCATACTTTGTAGCGATCATCCGGAGCGAAACATTTTATTTTAGGCCACTTAATAGCACTGGCAGATAGGGGTGTACAACTCCTCTAGAGCAGTTTTGAGTGAAGATCTCATAGGTAGTGACTCAAGTTTCAATTTATTGGCAATAGCATTCCAGACCCTGGGGGCATCAATAGCAAAGGCCCTTCCTCCAGTATATGTGCGGCAATAGGGAATGTTAAGCTGGTAAATGACTGTAGACCTTAGGTCAAATTCGTTCTTTGAAACAGAGATGAGATCCAGCAGGTAATCTGCGGATTTTTTTGCAAGTACATCATGAATAAATAAGATCTGGTGCACAAGCCGTCGAACATTCTCCGGGCCGTCCGATTGGCCCAGAGCTGAGTGGCAAAACCTCGCTTACGCTCGCATTACACATATACCCAAAGCATCAATTGCAGCATCATGAGCCACAGTCCGAAACCTCACCCATTTCCCCTCGGCATCAGGAGAGGGTGGGGACGATGCCAACCCCAGCTGCAAACGATGATGAAATTCTCACTTGCAACATTCATCAGCTAGCTGAGAACAGGCCACTGTGGAGATGAATGGGGTCCTAGATAGGCGCATCTTGCAGGTGACAATGGGCAGATCAGCTCAACGATAGAATCTGGTGTCAAGGACATGGGCCTGCATCCGCTGTTCTGTCACTATATAGTCCAGAAGATGTTCTGGGTTGGACCCGGCATGCATCCATGATGTTGTGTGGATGCACCAATGGCGGAACATTTTGACTTCCAATCACTCCAGCCCAGGTGCCAACATCATGACCCACTGGGGCATTTAAGTCACCCAACAGGATGACTCTATCCCAATGGGACATTTTAGCGAGCACCTGTGGCAGGAGGTCATAGAAGGCATCTGACTCATCGGCCTTGCCTGCATCCCTTTCACTGATGTTCATCAACCACCACCACTTCTTGCCTCTGGTTGATGGGGAGATGAGTCCAGAGTAGCCTGGGGCTTACAGGTTCCCACATCTCACTGCCATGCTCCCACGCCCTCTTCATTCTTTTGTTCAGAAGAAGAACCACTTCCTGTTGTCTGGCAGTCTCCTGCCCCGAGTAGAGGACTGTCTACCCGTTATGGTAACTGGAGCCAGAGCCAGTCCACCGGACCTCCTGAATACTGCACAAATTCAGGCTTTAACAA